GTGGCGTCAGATTACCAACAAATACGTGCAAATTAAACCCGTACATTCGATTATTCAAAAACTTGTACATGAATATAAGGAACTAGCAAATCGGCGGCGAGTAGAAGAGCTTGCTCGAAGTAGTCAAGCTAACACAACCAGCACCGTAACTAGTCAAACCCCACCAATGTCGACCGGAGTGGTCACAAATATCTGTCCCAATTGTGACCAAGTGTGTAAAAATCAGCGAGGTGTAAAGATTCATCGACGAACTTGTGATAAAAAAGTAGTCAAACAAACTCCAATGGGTCAAGGATTGGTGTAAGAGACATGGGATTAGGGCGGTTTAAATGCAAATATTCACGAATTACCGAGAAGGCTGAACTACGGTGTTTTGGTAAAAGGATGGGTACCTCCAAAACCAGATCCATGTGTGGTGTGGAGGTGGTACGCGGATGATACACCTTGTCATCGATGGTTTTACGACGAGTGAACATGAAAAAAAAATCCGATAAAACTTTTACGTTCTCTTGATCGCAACCAAAATTCAAGGACTTTTGTTTTCTCATTTTTTGATATTTTCCCCTTTTTTTTAACGTTTTCTCATTTTTTTGATCTTCACCCTACACCGGTTTCCGGTAAGTGTATGTTCGCCTTCTTCTTCTCTTTATTGTGCTGCTGATTCATGTTTCTAGTCGTTCTCCACTTATCTATCATCAGTGTCAGTTGATCACCGTGATCTATAGGTCCTTAAGAGCCGATGAGCTTCTGCAGCGTGAGCAGAGGTACTTAAAAGGTGATAACAAGTTTTTAGGTTTTCAATGATGAATTTTCACTAAAAACTGTCTAAATCATAAAAAATTCATATCTTGCAAAAGCTTTGGTTTATAAGCCTAAAAGTGTCGCAATGAGTAGACAACATCTATCTTCAACTGTGATGAAAATTTCTAACTCCTAGCTGATCATGGTCGTGAGCTATTAATTAATTATTATTAATGGCATTTTCATTAATTAACTCATATCTTCATCAAGAAGGCGCATGGATCCAAATCAACTTGGGGTTTTTCATTGTTGAGTATTCCGTACATGATGAAAATAGTCTGAGTCGAAAAGCTGTATTTTCGATGACTGTACAAAAGTTTCAACGTTAGTCTTGCACTACACTGTGGTCCATTTTAATGGTTATACATTGTGCATAATATTAAGAGATTTTATGAGAAGTTTTCTTATGCGCTTTCTCTTTATTGTGCTGCTGATTGATGTTGCTAGTCGTTCTCTACTTGTCTATCATCAGTGTCAGTTGATCACCGTGATCTATAGTTACACTTTGAAAAAGAGTGGTTCTTTCGAAAACTGAAATTGCGTTTTTCATTTGTCCAAATAGGGATCTGATGTGAGTTTTTTGAAAATTTGCAACACTGATTTTTTCATTTTTCCAGATCCCTATTTGGGACATTTGTTTTACAGAAAACATCATTATGAGAGAGCTGAAAAAGTCGACTTTTTTTCCGCTGGACGGATTGAGCTGAAATTTTGGGCAATGAATAACGACTGTTAGTTAAACATTTTCTACAAGTTTCATCAATGACGCCTCAACGGTTGCGAAGATAATTATTTTTATCCAGATGGACGTTGTCGTTTCTTTGAAATAACCACTTTTGTTCAACAGCGCTATGTTCAACGAGAACAAACGCTACTCACTTAGCGCGTTCTATAAAAATAATTATCTTCGCAGCCGTTGAGACGTGATTGATGAAACTTTCAGAAAATGTTTAACTGATAGTTGTTATTCATTGCCCAAAATTTCAGCTCAATCCGTCCAGCGGAAAAAAGTCGACTTTTTCAGCTCTCTCATAATGTCAGGTCTAAAAGCACATTTCTGCTGGACTTTTTCAAACATCTGGATCTTAATTTATCTTTTCATCAGCCAAGCTTTTTTAGTCGATACGATATCTGTGATCATATGTAAATTATTCTTTTATTCAGTATAAATATTGTCAACTGAAAACCTGCATAAGTACAGAAAACTACTTAACCCACATCCTAACTCGACCGTCATTTGGAACCTCACTTGATTCGGGTCGAATCAGGCTCCAAACATCGTAGTTACTCGGCTCGTTGGACTCGAGTCGAATTTTATAACTCTGTTATCAAGAACAAACATGTTCTCGAAGTGTGCCCATTGTTGTACATAAATAGAACTTTTTGAGAATAACTTTAGGCTTTTGTAAGAAAAGATCATGTCCTTTATATATATATTAGGAATCGCAAAACAAAAGGGGTGATTGAAATATGTAATCTTCTTTGCCTTTTTCAACTCAGAGAACTCAAAAGAAATATTGTGTTTCTCAAGTCTTGAAAAACTAAAATGAGCCGAAAAATTGAAATGAGCGAAAAACACATTTTTTTATTGAAAAATAGAAATTAAGTTTTTCATATTTCAAAGAACATAAATGAGATCTCTAACTCGTTCTCTGAAAACACGAAGAACACGTTTTTTTTTGACTTTGAACGATTCTTAAACGCTATCCCACTCAGAATTTAACGCTGATTCCAAATATGTGTGTCATAGATCGTAGTTTTTTTGGCCGAAAACATGTCTTAATGCTACTCTTCCTTTTCTTATGCTCTTTCTCTTTATTGTGCTGCTGATTCATGTTTCTAGTCGTTCTCCACTTATCTATCATCAGTGTTAGTTGATCACCGTGATCTATAGTTAGCTTGAACTTTAGAAAAGACACTTTCAGCTGTTTAGCAATGATGTAAGTGGCAGCGATCTAGTCAATGTGCTAAATGTGGTCAAAGAGTTATAAAAAGTCGTTGTATCCAACAGATGTCACAAGGTTTTTATCCTTTAGTGATGACAATAGTTTTAAAACTGAAATGATTCATCTAATGTGGACACGATTGCAGTAGGCAGACATATTTAAAATTTTTTGAATTTCAAAACCGATTATAGCATTTCAATTAATCTATATAATTATTTTGTAAAATATTTCTTCATAAATTATATACAGAAAAAGACTTCTTCGTTAACATTGAGTTTGTTTCGATTCTATAACTTTTACATATTCACGTAATTCTGATCTAACTTTTTCATCTAGTTGATCAAACATTTGTTCAACAACGCTTCTTATCTTTTTTGGATGTCCTTTCGTCCAGATTGATTTAATTGGATAACACATTTGTCTCGAATTTGAAAAAATTGTGAGTAACGATGTCTATCACTTGGTTTTGGACCATTAATTAATGACAATACCTTCTTATTATCGGTATATAAAATTATCCTATAGTTTTTATTAGTTTCTGCAATATAAGAATTGTTCGACTCTTGTAATGCAAACATGGCAGCGAGTACCTCACACATTGTACTGTCAGTGCCATTAGTATACAATTGAGTTTGAATTTGATTATTATATAAAAATCCACAGACTCCAATTTTATAATGTGGATTATAGCTTGCGTCAGAAAAATATTTTCTAACATGAGGAGTTTTGGAGTGTATTAAAGTTAAATGAGACATTATTTCAATCGGAGAGTTTAATGTTTGTTGATTTACTGATGTACATTTCTTTTTTTGAAATTGTTGTTGTCGAGCTCTCTTTGTCGCTACAATTCGAGTGACATGTTTTGTGCCGATTGGTACCTCAACCGAAGCTGAAACACCAATATTAGCTGCTGACGTCATCTTTAATTTTGAAGCTTTCACTTTTCCGGTCTGTTGTCTCTGCATAGTTGTGGCCGAAATTGTAGATTGTTATGAAACACTAGTATTTCCTTTTTGCTTTCTTCGCGATACATTACTGCAGTTTGCATTATTTTCTACCGATGTTGGTTGTATTTTTGTTGTGTGAGACCGTTGATTATTTCTTGATCTGTTTCGTTTATGCCGTGGCTTTTTGTTTGAAGTAATTTCAGTGAACGTTTGCTGTTCAAATTCCGCAGCGTGAATGTCTGTTAATTGCACTGGCAGAAGCTTTTGTCTTGTCTTTTCTGCTTTTTTTCGATGGTTGTCGTTTAATCGATATTGATTTGGATTGAGTTTTTAATGGAGGTGGTAATGATTTAATAGTATCTAATGATTGACTTTTCATATTCGGATCTTCTTCTCGTTGAATAAATACGAATTGATTGGATTCATGTTGCATTACTGTTGTAGATTCGTCGGCATCAGCTGCATAATCATTAACAGATTGTTTGGAACTAGCGCATCTCACACAAAAGGTGAACATTTTGATAACTGTTTTTTTAAATTTACCCATAACTATATTAAATTGTTAGTTTATTCTAAATAATATTAAAGTACTTAATAAATATTAATAAATTTCAAATATACAGTCAATGTATTTATACATGTCTTTTATCCCTTGTGGGTTATTTTTCATAAGAAAAAGGACAGAAACATTTCTAACGAGGGAACCACCCGAGGTGCTAAAAAGCTTTTCGACTGGGGGTTTCATGGTTCGATAGGGCATAGCTAGGTATGATATATCCTAGCTTGGTTCGTGCGGAAGTTGCTTCTAGGAAGAGTTATGAA